AAATACGTAGAAAACATTTAAGCACCGAACATTCATTTATTGGAATCAAATATGATATACTGTCCATCCCTAAATAGCGTAAGATAACTGGAAACGGCCTTGAAAACTTCGAAAAACTCAAAACTTTTATAGAGAGGTCAATATTTGTATGCAATAAAAAAAAAACGGTTTATTCGATATTCGAAAAAAGAAGACTTAAAAAACCGCCTACAGTACAGATATCCAAGAAAAAACGGAAGAAACCGGTTTAGAAAAACCGTGTTATTCACCCTAGTAGGTACATGTAGTACCTACTAATTTTTTTTAAGACTTCGAGTCGGTTTTTAGTGGGTACGGTGTACAACTGTGTATTGTCAAATGTTTTTCTGCTATAAAAACGCAGCACATTAAAATCATTGAACAATTGGAGGCAGTGTAAAGCTGTATGTCTTTCGAATGGTGTTTATACAACACCAAGACCGATGCCAGCAGCCCCTTATTTAATGTTTGAATATAAGACCTGAACGTTTTAAAAACGGGGTATCATTTTTTTGGTTTTTTAAAAGGTGGACAAAAAAAGTTATACTAACTTGACTCTTACAATTCAAGTGTGTGTACCAAAAAGTGACACCGTGCAGTCTGGTACCGTACTCTTTGCAGTAGTTCTTTTTCACAAACGGATATTTATTTACTCGCGCTTTAGAAAAATTTCGTGTTATTAAAAACGGAAAATTTAAGTGAAAAAAGTTTTTGCATTGAGTGACGCATGACGCATTTGTGAGTTTTTTTCTTACGATAAAAATAATCAGTTACAAAATTTTGGCTCTAAAGGCAGTCTATTATAAAAAGTTCTTTGTCATTTAAGAGTCATTGAAAAAGAACAATGGAAATTTGTTCCAAAACACGTCGTACGGAAAAGGAACTTTTATTTTGAAAAACTTAATGTCTTTCGGAATAACGTCCCTCATTCAACGATTGTGTAATAAACATAACCGCGTATACGCAAAATGCAATACCGCGTATGAGGTGGCTGAGAAAAAAAAAAGTGTTGCCATTTACTTTTTTGCAGATCATAAATATTTAGAGAGTGCTCAAAGCGCTCAAAGTTTTCCATGTAATTTATATCGGAGAAAAAACAACTTTTCGTAGAAATGGTACAGAATTCTTGAAAATCAATATTTTTTGATTGGAAATCTCTGGTTATCTTCAGGAGTATTTCAATAATAATATCCAATTGTTTACGTAACCATGTTTTAATACTAAAGATTTTTTATTGGTCCCCTCATTGCATTTTCTGGGGATTTTGACGGACCTATAAAATATAGTTACCATGAAAATATAGTTAAATAAATAATTGTTTATTATTATTGGGAATCACCTGAAACAGAGTCGAAATATTTGATTTTCAAGAATTCTATACCATTTTTACGAAAAGTTGCTTTTTTTTCGATATAAAATACATGGAAAACTTTGAGCGCTTTGAGCACTCTTTAAACGTTTTTTTATTTCAAAATAAAGAAACGGGGTATATTTTTTTAGTATAAAACAAAACTAAGGGGTGGCGGCATTAAAATGAAGACTTTACTGCTTTTTGGAGCACTGTAATATATGTTCAACTCGGCCAAAATCGCTTAGCAACTCGGCCAAAATCGCTTAGGCGGTTACAGCGCCAAAAAAAAGAAGAAGAATATATGTACATATGAAAGTGTTCATACAGCAAGCTTTTTCAGATGCGTTTTTGGGATGAAAGCCAAGAATTTTTTATTTTAAATTTTCTTTTATATTTTTCAGCCTCTTGATGCTGATGCGAACAAAAAAATCAAAAAAATTAAATAAAAATATATTTTTTGAGAAAGAAATTACAGCAAATTGAGCAAATATTTCAGCCGCTTTTCATTAATATTAATATCTTTACGGCCGTTTCATAGAAAATGCTCCACTCCGCTTCGTTCAATGTAAACACCAACAACTTTCCTTTGCCCTGCCTTGCTTCGATGAGCGCCGCTGGGCTTGCTGTGTGAACGGATCCTTACGTTTCTAGAATTTTTTTTTTATTTTTTTTTTAAACATATAGAGCTTGTGGATTTGTCACAGATGTCTGGTGAATTAAGTTCGACTTCAAAGCTTCAAAACAGCTTATAGAATAATTAAAAAAAAATAAGCTAACTTCAAGAATTTTATGAAAATCTTGTTGTAGAGTTGTACTCTAACAAACATAAAACTCAACCTAATATAAATACATATGTACCTGCGAAACTTAAACGAACACCTGTCATTCGGTATTTGAACTATTTACATATCTCATTTGCGTTGGTGTTAATTTGAATGTTTTGCAGCTTTAACTAAATAATTTTTCTTCTGCCGTCTTAACTGCCACATTGTTGAAACGCATCACAGTCATTCTTGTGCTCATCAGCAGCTGTACAAGGGGCAGCACTCTTGTTTGTTTGTGCATCTGCATCTGTATTATCAATTGCTTACAAACCAAATTGCTTAGTTCATTTTTTGTTATTTGTTTTTTTTTTTTTTATTATTCAGTCGCCTGCCTTTCGTTTTATGTTGTTGCCGGTCGTCGAATTCATTGCATATTTGTTGCTTTTGTAGTGAAAATAGAAAGTGGTCCATAGTGCTCTCACTTTGTCGCTACAGCGCGCGCATTGATTTGTGCAACGGTAAATTTTTCAATGTCTTAGCAATGTGAATGCCAAACCGCAAATCGCGGTTTAAACTAAGAAAGGTCTTTGCAATGTAGTATGTATGTATGTATGTGCATGTATATATGTATGTATGTGTAAAATTTCAAAAATAGCATAATTTTTTGTCTTAATAATTAATGACTGATGGATTAGTTAATGAATTATTTATAATACAACAGCCAAAAATATATGCTAAATAACCTTAGAGCTCAAAGGAGGGGAGGAAAATACTTGCCGTGTTGGTAAAATTGCTAAAAACAAATATTTTTCAAGAAAGAATTACTGGCCAATTTATATGGTTAGCCGAATTTCTCTGAACTCCCTTATCAGAAACATTTCTTGATGAGAAAAATTTGTTATTTCAGTAAGGTAAAGATTATTCAATTTAGATAATACAGCTATCGACAAACATGCATATCGATAACTCTGTCGAGGTAAATATCTATAAATATATCGATAACATTGTCAATAAATATATCGATAAAGTTTGCCATATACTTATACGTGTTTTTCGCAAACGATACCGATATTCACACTACATATAGAACCGACTGCCTTCCGAATGAGAACACACCATCCGTGTAACCAGATCGGCTATAAAAATACTCGTATAGTATACTTAGACAGGTCATTCATCGATAATCAATCAACACCTTCGTCAACTCTTAGCCCATGAATTCTATCACCGAATACCAATGCCACATATCACAGACGAAGTGTTCGAGTTGGTCCATGAGGCTAGCGATACTTTGACAGAACGCAATTCTGGCTATTGTGGCAGGTTAAACCAGACACATAACTATTATAAGAGAAAAGAAGAAAAGTCAATCAATAATTATTATATTAAGTCTTATAAAAGTCTTATATTATAAAAGCCGTTTCATAATAATTATGAGTGCGAAAAATTTTTTATATCTTAAAAAACGAGGCTTGTTGAGGACCATTCCGGGGTTATTTGGAGATCAGCTCAGGCCTAGTTGGGGACCAGTTCGGGACTATTTGGGGAATAGTTTGGGGAGTAGCTTGGGTTCAGTTGGGGCTTAGCTTGGGACGAGTTCGGGACTATATATATAATATAGTTCCAATCCAGTCCGAAACTACTCCCCAACTAGTTCCAAAATAGTCCCTAACTGGCCCCCCACCAAGCCCCGAACTAATTCCGAAATGATTCTGAGCAAGCCCATTTTCTTTAAGACTTAAACAATTTTTTCGCACTCATAATTATTATGAAAAGACTTTTATAATAAAAGTCTCAAAATAAAAGTCTTTGAAGACTTAAAAATATTTATCCCAATGATAATTATTATGACAAGACTTTTATAATATAAGTCTCAAAATAAAAGTCTTTGAAGACTTAAAAACATATATCTCGCCGATAATTATTATGAAAGACTTTTATTATATAAGTCTTAAAATAATAGTTATCGATGACTTTAAAATTTTTCCTCACACTTAATTATTATCAAAAGACTTTTATAATTCTTACGAAAATTTTGATGACTTTTTTAGAACTCCACCATGAAATGAATATTATTCTGGGTCCCTGGCTTAAACTGATCAGTCCAATTTGAATAAGATGCCCCAACGACACCAAACATCTCTTCACATCCTAAGCCTGCCGTTAGATAAGAATGGAGACAACATGTAGACACTTCGCTAAGGTTAATCACAATCCGGTGCATAGGGTCTTGCATTTGCATTTTTTGGTGCATTTTAAAATTTTATGCTAACTACATACCTTGGCAACAGTTTTCATTTTATTGTTGTGAATTTGCAAATTCATCAAAATATGAAAATACAGGACCATATGCACCTGATTGTGATTACCCTTACTGATTTAGACAGTGTCTAGTAAGCTGCTACAGTGAAAAATTTTTGTTCGGTTTTTCTTTTCCAGTATTCAGATATAAGAATAACAAAAACTGGATTCTGGTGCATAGATAAACTATGTGAATGCCCTCTTTATTCCGCGACTGCCCAATATTTATTTATATCTTTGTCCGATGTTTGTACGTACAAGAAGAAGAAGAGATCGGGAGGACGAGATGTCCCCATCGGTCTCACTCCTTCCGTATATTTGTCTGCCTGTTGAACGCAAAATAGCCCCGTACTGGATATTTGGTAAGCAAGCCCCGCCCCTTTTTATAACATATTGCTTATGTATCGAAACCGGCAAGGACGGACCATTACAGCATTTTGCTCTGAAACTTTTTCATTTAGGAAGCTAAATTCGTGAAAATGTGATTACTCTCTTATCTCACCCGCCTTTTTAAGAATATTATATATAAATGTTATTTCATAAAAAAATGTTATTTTTCATTTCAGATAATTCTTTAAGCGGTGCGGTGGTTTCCTTCCGCCTCACAGTCGGGTATACATATGTGCATGTCGGAGAAATACAGCTAAAAGTTAAGTGACGGCTAAGGGGAATAGAAAACAACAAAATCTCAACTAAACCAAAACACAGTAAAACAAAAACAAAATGGGGCGACAGCTGCCGGCTTATGCGCTCGCGACGCTATTCTGCTTAGTGTTCATAGCGAAGGTGAGTATGTATTCTAATACATACATATACATATATGTATGTAGATACTTGCTATATAACCGATATAAAAAGCTAATAAACAATGGGTCAAATGCTGTAAAAGAAGAAGCTTAATGTCGCAAATTGGCGCCTACGTTTTATCTTTATGTCAATGAACATACACACAAACATACATACATACATACATACGTGTGTGACAAAAATGCACCAGCAGTTAAGATGGATGTGCAGAATGCTTATAAAAACGATAAACATTGGTGATTGCGTTACGAACTGTTCATTGACTAATAAGTCACAGTGGCGAATTAAGCAATGATTGTTGAACAGCTATTGGTTTAAAGTTTTACTTATAATTTTATACAAGTATTTGTGTATATTAAAACTAGGGTGTGGAAAAGAGAAAAATTAAAACGACCATAAATAACCGATAACGCTGTGCAACAATTTAAGGGCCATGGAATCTAACGCGGAAGCGACCGACATAGATCGATAGTACTTGACTAGGATAACAAAAGAAAAAAAAAACAAAAAGGTTGTTACTAGGGCAAGTGCTGTTGGTACTGAAAATGGGCGAAATCGGTCAAAAACTACGCCTATTTTCATATAACGGCACTTCTGGAAAACCCTAAACGACGCATATGTATTCGCCGTACATCGCCGAGTCGAAAGTATTTTTGCAAAGCAACTTCAAAGAATAATTTTTTTATGCACGAAGCTAGAAGTTGCCTTTTTAGATTTTTCGGTGCTTACTACGTTCGGCATTAAAAACAATTTTTTTTTAATAGTTTTACATACTGGAATAATCAAAATACTTTCTCAGCAAAAGTTTAATGACCTTTGGTGTTTTAATTTACTGACATTAGGGTGATAAGAACTGAGATCTAGGGGCAAGTACTAGATCGGGGTTCTTGAGATCAATGGACATCAATACAAGAACATCAATATATAATACTTTAAGATCCCACTGTAAATGCTAAGGAAATAACGGAAAATGTAAAAAACGACCCATACGTTTGGCCAAAATTTGAATTTACATGAATAAATTTAAAAAATTCAAAAAGGTGTCAAATGTTTGAGATTAAAAGAAAAAGTTCCCTAAGAATTTGTTTTAAAATTTTGAAATATTCGTGGACGTCTTTATTTTGTATGTAGAATAAAACTTAGATGTTATTTTAAAGGACCACCCTAATGTACAAGATATGTATGTGCTATATACATGCATACGTTCATAAACACACATTCGCAATCTACTATTTTGCTTTAGCACCATAAGCTGCAACTTTACATGCTGGCATTTAACTTTTAGAGAGGATTTGCTAGAAGTAGTACGCAGCATAAGATTACCCATTGCAAAGCAATTGTAAGTGTTTCTGCATATCTTGAAGGTGCTCTTCAGTTGATCAACCGTTAAGCTAGACTGTTTGGTGCTATCTCCACACATCGAATAATCTTGGTTAAGCATGCTAGTGTCAAAAGTTTATGAGTGTTTATATGTACTTACTCATAAAATGATGAAATGCCTCGATTATTAGTATACATACATACATAGGTATGTACATAAAACTCTACAGAAGATTTTTATGCGTTCACGATAGTTTTTTTTTATACATTTTTTGTCACACTCGAGACAGATGAAGTAAACCGACCGATAGGGTATATGCCAAAATATGTACACTTGTTTTCTAAATATATCGCACATTCTTTTGATGAGCAATCACGTTGATACTATACATATGTACTTATGAACAAACTCCTACATCTGTGGCAATAAGATAACGCCGTAGTCGGATAGTAAATACGGGTTTCCCAAACATGTTCACTCCTGCGTAGGAATGTGCGATTAATCGGTCGATTAATGTTTTGATTAATCATAATCCTGATTAAGCAAATATTTTTACTAATCAATTTATATGCAAATTCAGTTTAATTAAAAAATAATAATTGAAATCTGAGTAACTTTGTTCATTTCCTTCAAGTTTGCTTTCAAAGCAACTGAAAATTTTCTTTATAATATAATATGTATGTACAATATTTTTTTTGATTAATTAGTTTTGTGATTAATAGAATTAATTAGAACCTGATTAATCGAAACGCAATCAATCGGGAAACTAATCACTTTGATTAATCAAAAATGATTACTCTTTGATTAATTAGGCTTCGATTAATTAGCTTGTTCGATTAATTAATTAATCGCACATCCATACTCCTGCGCCTTTTTATGTAGGTAATCCATATTCATACATATGTACATACATACATACACTGCCGGCTGCTTTTTTATTATATATGCATCAATTTTTATCGTTATATTTTTCCGCCATTTTTTTTTTTAATATGGTTTATTGAATTTTCGCGAGTTTTACAAAAAAAAAATCAGAAATTATAGTTTTATGTTTTTTGTTGTAGAATGAACCATATTTTTATAAAATATTAGCGGAAACATATTAGAATAGAAACTGGTGCATATATTTTGCAAAATTCGCTGTACCAATACTTTTTTCTGGCAGTGTACATATGTATATTCCAAATATAAAATTTTTTGAAGAGTTATTTCCTTTCGTGTATATGATATACATTTCAAATATGAACCAAATCGGACTATAAATACGGGGTTTCCAAGTATCTCGACTCCTGCGCCACCTAGCGGACGAATTCATCTTTCATATTACAATTTCAATTCTCGAGCCCATCGGGAAGTTTGTTAAAAATTCATTGTCACATTTGACCGAAACAAAGATGCTTACATACATTCATCGACAGGGGGAGTCTTCATTGTCTCCAAGGTTCTAGACACCAGTCACCAGTTCGTCGTTCTTCTTAATATAGGAATTCAGCTTGGTCTCAGAACATTCCATGTCATCCTTCAAGTATTACGCGTCTCTTTTTCTCTCATATCCCGTCACGCCTGATCGCAGCGTAGCTCCATAGGCAGCATAAGGCTCACCTAAGTTCGACAATTTACTCGACCAAAGTACCCATGGAACCAGATAGATGATTCCATTGCTCACGAGTGTACATCTGTTGAGATGTTCTCTCTGAGGGAAGGGGCGAAAGTCGAGTTGTGAAGTTGCCGGTTTTCTGTTGTGATGGCAGCTCTCCTTGAGTAGTGATCCGAGTAACTGCTACTCGCCAGCCACTTAGCTTGTTGAATCTCTTCCATACCTCCTTTTACGGACTCGACGAAGTCAATCAGACTCAGTTAGACGTTTCGTCGTGGAGGCTAATTGTTTTGCCCCCCTGACCAAACATTATTTCCGTGAGCATCCTGGAATTGACTGGAGCTAACGACAGTTCTTAACGCCAAAGTCTTTATTACGCCTAAATCTTTGTATTTAGTATAGTCGAACAACTGTAACTGGATACCCAAAGGCCCCACTCTAAACTGAATATAGTATGTAAGCAGGTGGATTTCACTGTACATATCGCACATCTTCTTCAAAAATGGCACAACTCAAAAATCCTACCCGAAAATATAAGTGCTTGTGGATCATACAGATACAACACAATGAATACAAAAACAGATATAATAACTAGTAGTTTTCTGGTTTTCATTCATTTTAGATAAATCCTACTAATTGACTTATGCAAAAAAAAATTACCCTAATTTTTATTTATTTTTTTAGTTGGTCGCCTTTTGAAGAAGCTGTGCGATATATGCATTATATTTAAGATAGTAGATTAACGATTAGTGCTGGAAAAAATCTCTGTATTTTGGTTTAAGCAAACTTATCGTTTTATTCACCATTTCGAATTTGATTTCAATACAGCTACCAACAGCTCGCCTGCATGTATGTACATACATACTTATGTTCATAAATATGTACATCTGCTTATACATTTTTATGTGCATAGAGATTGCATGCCTATTTTGCCATTCGTTCAATTGGCGCTTCGCAGTTATGCTCTGATTTGTAAAGTTTTAACTTTCTTTTACAAATACATATTTTTTCGCGCATAATTAATCACAAGACATACTACCTTCTTGCTGCAACTTAGGCACACATGCATACATATCTCCATACATACATATATGTACATTTGTTTTTGTCCTTAATTTTCAAATTTTGCTTTTAAACACGAAACAAAAAATGTAGGCCTTTTTCGGTAGATTTATGTACATAGCTTAGGGTGGTCCAAAAATGCATGTGAGAAAGTAAAGTCGGAATTTTTACGCTCTCACCCCCTAAAATGGTTCTGTACCAAAAAAAAAATATACCCCTTTTTTATTTTGGAATCAAAAAACATTTAGAGGTCGCTCAAAGCGCCCAAAGTCTTCCATGTATTTTTTTTTTTGGGAAAAACAGCTTTTCCTACAAATGGTATAGAATCCTTAAAAAGCAATATTTTTCTATCGGAAAACTCTGTTTATCTGCAGGAGATTTCCAATAATAGTATCTAATTGTTTACTTAACCATTTTTTCATCGCAACTATAATTTATAGGTCCGCCATAAACCTACAAAAACCCGAAAAATGCAATAGGGGACCAATAAAAAATCGTTAGTATTAAAAAAATGGTTAAATAAACAATTGGGTATTAACATTGAAAGTCTTTTGAAGAGAACAAGAGTTTTCCGGTTGAAAAATATTTATTTTCAAGAATTCTATACCATTTCTACGAAAAGTTGTTTTTTCTCCATATAAAAATACATGGAAAACTTTGAGCGACCTCTAAATATTTTTTGATTTCAAAATAAAAAAATAGGGGTATACTTTTTCGATATAGAACAATCATAGGGGGTGAGAGCATTACAATTCCGACTTTACTGTTTTTGGACCACCCTAATGTAGCTACATAGCTGTACAATATGATTACTTCAGGGCCAGTTATTTCTTGTTATAGGTAATTTTAATTTGCTTATTTTTATGTGATAAAAGGTGCTTTGATATGAAACATTTTTCCTTTTAGTGGGGATAAAGTTTACTCTGGTAATACTGGCAGCAATTAACCAGTTAAATTTCTTTTTGCATAACGTTAAAACGAATATTATATCGATAACTA